ACACATCTCAATCTTTTTCTCTCTGAACCTTGAGTGAGGCTACCCCTCCAGCGGCTATCGGAATTAATGATCTGTGGAGCTGCAAGATGAGGTCTTGACCGACCCCTCTTTGATTGAACTGCCTGCTCTTTTGAGGCACTAAGGTCAAGCTCTGGGTCAGCCAGTTTTCGAGAGAACCAAGGACTGATTATGGCCCCCATTCTCTGCTGTATGAGGACACTCAGTCTTTCTCCTGTGATAAGATTGTATGCTAAAAATAAAAACATGTTTTGGTCCGGAAATTTACCTATGCATTGTCAGTGTTAATATAGTAATATCAATACAAATTTTAGCTATTTTTTACATTTTACGTTCCATTTTGGCCGTTTTTCCCAGTGCGGGATGACTGTTACTGATTTGCTTAAACTAAGACTTGGGCAAACAAATGTAAATTGTTTATCTCCTTTCATATACTCAATAAAATAAAGTAATAGATGCATACTAAAAATATAAATGTACCTTTTACTGATGTTTGGCAAAATGGCCTTTCATATCCCCAAACACAGGGGCAGGTCTAGGGGGGGATTTGTTCTTCCCATTTGGATGTTTAGGGTTTAGTGGTGATTCCATGATGGGGAAAAACCCAACTTAAATATTTTAAGATCTGGTTGACATGATATTGTCATTTTCTAGAAATTTTTTGACTAAAATGGTAGTATAATCAATAAATCAATGAGATCAACAATCTCTGCCATTCAGATGAGTCTAGCACTACTTAGTGACTGAGGGAGCAAACAGGAGTGCATGTATGCAGGAAAACAGCTAGGAGTTGGAACAGTGGTTTTATTATGGACAGCTGCTAAAATTTTCATGAATTAAGATACAGCTATGCCATCGCATTGTGTTGCAGCTTTTTTCTCCAACCCGCATAAGGATGGCATCGGCCTGTTAAGTTTCATAAGGGTGCTGAGCTGCTTTCAAAATTGGGTGAAGCATATCAGATGAGATTGGAAGAAGTTGGAGCTGTCCGTGGTATCTCTTTTGAGGAAAATTGTGAGAAGGGAAAGTGAGCAGCTGTCAACAACCGTACATAGGGTGCCCAATCCAACATTAGCTGGAGTTTAAGCCACACACTAACCAGTTGTTATTAACAAACTATTAATGTTACTCTCAGCTCTTCCACTTCCAGCTGAGTTGCTAAGGTAAAACCACACAGTAATGGGTTTTTACTAGCTATTTATCAGAGTGCTACTAAATATACCATATTTGTGTTAAAAATAAGTCTATTTCATTTGTAACAACCCACTTTAAAGTTTTTATATTAAAGAAAAAATGACAACAAAAGTATAGCAAAAACATTGCTAACAACAAGATACTAAAAAAAAGATTGATATAAATTGTTGCTACTTTATGAATTTGTTTTTAGGTTTTATAGGGGAGAGTTTGTCTCTGCAGCTATCTACTTTTCAACCTGTTTAATTGTATATGATGTAGAACTATAAATTATTTTAAACAGCACCAGTGTATAAATATGTTTGTAGCTTTATTAGCAAAGGCCTTGTAAAAATTTGATTTGTCTTCAGGGATTTATTTAGAAAATATCGATGTGTGCATTCATTTTCCTGTATGATTAAGTTTGAACAGTGGAATACACTTTACCAAAAACGAGGTACACCAGGGTACTGCACAACACAAACAAAATAATGAAAAAACTTCCTTTAAAATGTTAAACAGACACAAGTAGAAAATAATGCATTAGTCTGAACAAAATCATGTAATACAAAATAATGGAAATAGTGAAAATTAAAAAGCCCTATTTATTCTAAAACCAAGAATATAGATGAGTATTTAAAATCAAATAAAAAGTTTGAAGATTATGAGTTGAATATCTTAAATCAGATTATGTAACTTTGAGTAACTGCAGATATTTATGGCGTCAATTTGCCCTTTCTTTACAATCTTTTATGCTTACTTACATTTTTACCTTTGCAGAAAATATTCTTTGACTTGTCACTTTCCTTCTATTACCCCTGAATTTCTCTATTGAGGGAAAATAAAGGGTATTTCTATTCTATTATTTACACTTTAATGTATTCTTAGATTATTCCAAAGTTTGGGCATGGAGAGAGAGCAGGAAATATCACCTTTCTTAAAGCCTTATTTACACTGAAAATACCAGGTTATGGTGTGTTTTTCAAAGATGGGTCGGCTCGCTATCAATCGGCATTTTGCAAAAAAAGCTGGGTCTAACCCCTAGATTGCAACTCTCTGTCCCCCCACGTCTGGTGACATCATCCAGCTGGGTTAACTTTGATACTGTCACCAGTGTGACAGAAATCAGGAAAGTAAACAATGGAGGGCAACATGTAAGGAAGCCAGGGCGTAATAAGTGTGCTTTATTATTTCGCTCTATTATCTGTCCGAATCCCTCTCATAAGTGCTGCGCCATGTTTATCGAATGTAAATAATGTTGTTTCGGCTTGTTAGATCAGACGTTACTGACGGGGTGTGGCAACGTCCATATGTTGCGTTCAATAATATCATGTAAATACAGGTGTCAAACTGTTGTTCCCAATGTATACCGATCAAAGTTGAGGTGATTTTAACGCGGGTCACTTGCCAAGTCGTTTGACCTGTAAAGAGACGTGACAGTGAGATGCTTGCAATGCTGCTTAAAGCTGATTGTTTCTAGTTTTTTTTGGCCAGTGGGAAAAGGGAAAAGTGTTTGTCTGACTCTGATCTTAGTCTTCTTGTTGTAAAAACGTAAAAATGAACCCTGTAACTAACGGGGTCATCAAAGCACAGGTAGAATTGGAGTTATTAAGTATATTAACATATTGAGTATGTTAACATATAATTTGGAAGTTTGTTTTAAGACCCATCCCAAAGATTTGTTGAGGTTTGCTAATATAAAAATTCAAATGCACCCAACGTGATGAATTCCTACAAACCTATAAATATTCAGTTGAATCTTCAGAAGCTGAATTTAAGATTTCACACCTGGTCCTTGTCGTTCATCCGCCAAGCTATAGGGTCCTCATTTTTTTGCATCCTACTCATGTAAATAAGAGTGTTCAGAGGTTTTTCTATATATGCTGTCTGAGCTGTTTTCTATAGGCCGGATTTAACCTAACATAGCCATGGGCTACAGTCACAGAGATGCTGCATCAACATGGATTTTCATGAAAGCTAATAAAAACAAAGCCAGGATGAGGCATCTCCTCAAAGCATTTTCCATCCGATCATAATAACAGAGAAAGAATTAATTTTCCTTCTAATACTGGAGAAGGGCTGTAAGAACACAACAGAAGTCCCTCTGTTCTCCCACTGATGTGAGAAGAGATAAAGTCAGGTTTAATAGCAACCATATGGAGTACAGGTCATGCACCAACCTGTGCACAACCCACACATGGAGGACTCCATACACACATATGCACACACCCAGCAGACTGTATTTCAACCTTACTCTGGACACGCAACATTTATCTGGCAACCGTGGCCGCTCCATGCATTCCTGACCTGTGGGTATCACAAAAAACACACCATAAATCGCACACTACTCCTCATGCGCTACGATCCACTGACATGAACATGCACAGTTTGGTGTTGCACAGAAAGCTGTACTGGTTAGAATCAAATTATTTCCGTCTCTCTCTTTCTCTCTGACCGCCCACATAGAGAGGAGGGCAGGCTGAGTAAGTCCCAATGCACTAAAGATTGGACTGCCTTAGCGCGTGTCCTGGGGTCTCAAATACATATCCGGCTATCCTCTAGTCAGCTGGACATGTTTTCTATACTTCCAGGGGCCTGCTGGGATGACCGTCTGTGTCATTAAATAAATGACAGGGGCAAACGGAAAAAAAAGCCATGAATGCCTTCTCTAACTCTCTTTTATCATTAGTGTAAACTTCTAATCATATTCACAAAAAACACTAGAAATCCGACTTAAAACTGAAAAATCAGCATAGGCCTTGGTTATTCTCACACAAAAAATGAGTCACTTAACTGCAAACCTACCACATATTGAGCAGACTGTGCATACTGCACTGAAAAGAAGCAACTAAGAAAAGGAAAAGAACTGCTTCATTCCTGTTAAAAGGTGAATAGACCAAATGTTTGAAGACAAAGTGGTTGAATCAAACTCAAACTGCTTCACGATTCACTTAATGAAAAGACTTCAGTCTAATTTTATTGGTTAACAAGATACATTAAGGCTTATTTGTTTTTCAAAAAAGCAGCTTTGCAGGGATTTATGCTTCCTGCAGTTAGGCGTAGTGAGATTCTTGTTTTTTTAGCTTTTTCTTCAGTCCGCAGTGCCAGTCAAAGTCCTCTGCTTGATGCAATAAATATATCTCTGTCATATCTGATCAGAGAGAAGCCATGTGGGCCAGATTAGATGTTGTCTGAAACCATCTGTGTTGACAGTGTGGTGACACATGTTCAGGTAGCACTGCATAATTTCCCTCTCATCCTATTACATGTATTTCTTTTTATATATATATTTTATTTATTTCAACCCCCTCAGAGGGGTCAGAGGTCAGGGTAGTTTCATATTTGGGTACTGCCATGCGCTGCCTTACTTTTGCTCCACCGCCCACTCATAAGGCCCGGCGCGCGCTCTGGGGCACTGTCGCTGAATTAGGTGCGTATCGTGTTACCTATCTGCAGTTACATGTAACATGTGGATGCTCTGTAAAGCTGGTTCTGGGATTTACAGATGCTGATTCCGCCTAACGAGTGGGTGGAATGTTTTTTTTTCTGTTTTATTTATTTATTTATTTTTTTGCATTTTACTACACATCTGTCTGCCCAAGGACTCATAACGCACCCAAGCCTCCGGGTAGAAACCCCCGCATATGGGTTAACCCTTCAGATGCACTGCGTTATTACGCACTCATTAAAATGTCCCACTCTCCACCCCACCACTACCCCTCCTTCCCCGTTTACGCATATGCCTTGTGGGCTGCCATGGTCTATTATTGGGATGGTTGGGATGCGCACTGCTCCCCTCTTTCGCCTACCGTTTGTTCCCGATACAATTTCCGATGGATGTGTTTGTGGTTCCGTGGAAGGAGGATGGCCAGGACATCCGAGACTTCTTCAGTCCCGGTCGGTCACTCGTATCCACCGCATCTGAGCGCTCCATGTGCCGGTGGTGGTGCCGGTCGGTGTCGGAGTATCCCCGGTGTTTGATTTTAATCGGGGTCCGGGGCTGTCTCCAAAGATGCTGGGGAGGTTTTAGAGTCGCCTGTCCCTCCCGAGGAACCGGGAGAGACAGGGAAAGGCTCTTCTTTGAACATGGTGGTGGTTCCATCATTGTGCAAAAAATCAAATATAATGGAACTAATATCCCCCTGTGTGCTTATCGATTAAATGATATGGCTGTAATCGTGTTTTTCAAGCAAAAAGCGAATGGTTTCATGTCCCTCGCTGCCACTTGATTGAACAAATCAAAGTGACCAAGTCCAGCACAGCCCAGGTCTGAACCTGGTTTTCTGAATAACATCAAAAACTGTCACAGTGATAACCTGTCAAGCCATCCAGAAAGCCATTAATCTCATTGTTTTCGGTGGTGATCAATTTCGGTTTATCCCAGGTTCTCCTTTTGCCTGTGATCCTCAGTAGTATGGGCTTTTGGTGATGAGACACCGGTCCTGCTGCGTCTCCTGAAGTTTGACGCCTCATCGCCCATGGCGCACAGCCGGATGACAGTGTTTATTTTGGAGAATTTATTGCTTTTTATCAGCCTCTTATTGCAAAGACACGCTGGCGCTGGCTCCTCTCCCTGTGTGTTGCGCTGTTATTGCTGTGCGTGTCTTTCCGTGGAGCTAAAATCTTCAAGCCAATTTCAAAAAGTACTTCATCTATCACGATTCATGTGGAGCTACGGCATCCTTGTGCGCAAACTCCGCTCTGAGGTCTCCAGTATTCCCTCCAAAAAGATGACCATTTGTATGTAAGATTTAAAAGTGGACTCTGTTAACCACTCTGAAATAAATAAATCAGAATAGTGCAGAGATTTGTCCAAAACCCAGAAGCAATCCTTTGTTCTCAGTGGTCCAGTTTCCTCCAGATTCATGTGTTTAGTCCAACAGTATCATAAAAAGCACAAACTGATAGTTGCTGAGCTTCAGTCATCATTCTCTATATGGACCATTATCTCTCCATCTTCATATTTGCTTGGAGTTCGACGACAAACATTGGCTTCATCACAGCGCGCCCTTCCCCTCTCTATCTCTCATTTTCTCTCTCTTTCTTACTCTCTCTCTCTCTCCCTGTGGTTCGTGTTGCTTTTTGCGCGCATCCGTTATGTTGTGCCCCATGCCCGTGCACTGCGCATTTTCCTATCAGAAAACAAACCCTATTGTCTTAATGATATCCAGTTTTGTCATAGAGGGTAAATTTGAAAGCATTAATCTATTAGCATGAGCTTATCAATACTTTAACATGGTTTTGTATTTAAGGAGGATATAACCACAAATGGAAAGGTGCTTTATATTAACGCCCCATCACAGTGCAATTATATTTTAGGATGGAAAGCACGTTTTTTTTTTTTTGTATTTCTTTCTCTTTTTGTAGTAAAAAAAAAGGTTCCCATGTATTTGTTTTAATGCATTGATTGACTGAGACAGACATGATCATGATAATCAAACCCATACACTCATTCTGAATGTTCAGGATGGTTTCCTGCAGACAAACCTTATTCTCCAGTCTAAAATATTTGGCAGCCTCTGACATATTTTCTGCATTCCCATAGCATGATGCTGCCATCACCTTGATTTACTGTTTGAATCTTGTGTTCGGTATGATGCAAAGTGTTGGTTTGCTACTTAGGGATTAATATTTTGTTTATATAAAGAGCAAACATGCCTCCTTCTTGTGACCTTCACAAAGGACACGTTTCTGCAGTGCACAACTTATAAATGTCTCATCAGCAGATTCCCCTTACTGACCTGTATGTGTGTTTTCCCCTAGATACCTTGGATGTTGTGGCTTCTTTTGTGAATGATGCCTTCTATTAATTTCTTGATAGTTTAGGTGGATGGCCATGTTTCGGTAGGTTTGAGGTTGTGCTCTTTTAATTTTCAGACTTAAACCTTCACAGAAGGTTCACCTTCACAGATCCACCGACAAAACATTTCACCCAACTGCACTCTGTTTACTAATTATTTATTTATGTGTATCATAGAAAATGGTGAGTAACTACAAGTGGATCTCACACTTTAAAGCTTTTTCCATGGTAAAAAATGTTAAAATCAGTGTTTACCTTAAAGTCCAACTCAGTTTGTTAGATTCTCTCCTCGAGGAAAAAAAAAAAAACTGTGATTTCTATTAGGCAAAATTGACTCTAAAACTTATATTAGTAACGCAGTATAATTTCTCATCATTGTGCACATGCTGTGCAATTCAAATTATGCAAATTCAAAACTCTCTTCTGATAAGTTGCAGTTTCTCTGCCACTCTTGCGATTAATATTATTATTTGCCAAAGCCGGATTACACGGTTTATCCTTTTTCCTGCTTTAGCACATTCAATGCAGTGGAATAACTGACCCTATGGAGCTGTCTTGTAACTTTTAGGTCAGCTATACAGTTTTGAGACTTATGCTAATGAGAATACAAATTGATTGTACCTGCACAGGCCTAATGTCAGCTTAACTGAAATGACAAAATGTAAAACTTTTTTTATATATGAGGTTTATTTCTTTATAATTACTGAAATATTTTGAGATTTACTTATGACAGGAACTCTGTATCTTTTGAGGTACTGCCACATAGCCAAAATCTGCAAACTCATTTAGTTAAATAAACAATAATTCATTAAGTAACAACTAAAGAAGCAAAGCATTTAATAAAAACAGAGGACACGAAAATGAAGACACACCTTTATATACTGTATATTCTTTTGGTGATATAATTCTTTGGATTTGTTTCATGGCTTTGTACTTGGCCTAAAATAGATTTCTAAATCAAATAGAGGCTTGAAAGCACCATTTTAAAAGCTCTATTGATTGATATTGCTGACCCTAAATATATAGGGTATAAATACATAAATTTTTATGCACTCAGACTAAAAAACAGAATCTTTCTGCCCCTCGTTCTAAACTGCCAATACTGATTACTAACAGCTCAAAGGGAGGATATGGCAGCTAAATAAGCTCTAATGCTTGAAAATAAAATGTCCACATATTCAATCAAGAAGCTGATTTCCAATAATGGATATGCATCCGGCAGCACAGCTTATAGGTTGCCAAATGGAGAGGTGTGTTTTGCTCACAGCCTTGGCACTCAGTGTGTGTCGATCTGTACTGTGACTAGAAAAATACTACTCTTGGGAAACTGTGGCAGTAAGAATTACCCACAAGTCCCCCTTTTCCTCAGGGTTGGAATAAAACTAGTCTCTCGTTGCTACCAAAAGGTTCTGCCTAAAGCATTAAAGATCTGTATTACCCATAAATGTTTAAAGAACACATGTTTTAATGCCTTGTCCTTGAAGTCAGAATATTTCATAGATCCTAACAAGGAATGTGTGTTTGCATGTAAAATACTCTAAAATATTCTAAACTTCCAGTTTCTATTAGAGAGGGAAAACACTGATTGCATTCAACCTTTTAGGCCTCAAAACTTTCTTTATCAGTTTTCTTTCTTAAAGGCTTGCTTGTGTTAAAGTATCTGCCCCTTTAATAATGCTGGCAAATGTCCCTGACCATATTTATCTCTGCCTCCTGGTGACAGCTCTATCTTGCAAAGGTGCCCCAAATCCCAATGACCCTACAGACTTCTTGTCAGATTTACTTCTGCTGAGATTATCTCGTATCTTGAATTTTCTGGTGCAGCAATTAGTATGTTTGGACTCCCTCACACTAATGCCAGAGAATATGCTCTTAACCAGAGATTTCAAAGACAAAACCTCTTTGTGATTTTTAACCGTTTGTGATTTCATCCATGTTAACTAAAAGTCCAGGTCCATACAAAGACATTTTATTTAAAAGCATGTGGTTGCTATCACCATGTTGGTCTTTGTGGTGTGTCCTTTTGATGAGTGCCTTCTGTTCCCATTTGGTTTCACCTGACTAGAGGATGTTCTCCCAAGAGGTTTTGGATGTTTTATTAATGATTTATTTGGAGGGAAAACAAATTTCTTCAACTCTACTTCTAAGCCCGTGAAGGCTCTGGCAAATGGACCCAGAATTCAGGCAGACAGAACAGGTTTGTTCTAAGATAAAAATTTTATTGAAAGCTCACGATTGTCAGCTTGCTGGATTCTCTGTAGATACAGACAGTCAGGTTAATGATCACCAGGCACAGATGGGAAACAACAAGCATGTGAATCACTAACCTGGTTCTCAGTTCAGTCTGTGTCCAGAGGAAGGAGTGGAAACCAGTTGGAGAACTTCTCCATAGAGAAGAGAGAGTTACAGGGGTTGGAGCAGAGCAGCTTGTAGAATGGAAGCCAGCAGATGCAGGAGAGCAGAGGAGTCTAGAGTTTGAATCCAGAGCAGGCGATGAAGCAGGGGTCCAAACCAGAAGATTATAAAATTACAGAGATACCAATAGGATAATCCAAGCCAGGGTCAAGGGACAGATCCAAGGTCGCTAACAGACTGAGTTCGAACAGCAGTCAGAACACAGGAAACAGATTGGAACAGGGGCAGGCCAAAACTCAGGAATCCAAAGGCAGAAACAGGTCAGGAGCAGGCAGTCAAAAAGACAATGGTGTACGCTAGATACTTCTTACACTAGGCTTGAATAATCTGGCACTGATGGCTGGAAAACAGGCAGCATAAATAGGAGCAGGAACAGGTGGATTAGATGAGAGGTAATGAGCAACTGGGCAGATTTAGACAGGTGAATGGAATGAGAAATTAAGCCAGTCATCAGCACCAGCCATCAGCACCAAGATCACAACAAAGTCCAGACATATAGTAAATGCAGTAGACAGTTAAAACAATGCCAATATTGACCAGTAGCTCCATTACTGTTGCTGTCATATTCTTACCAGCCTAACCAGTTTCTGTCTTTATGTGTTTTTATTAAATATATAGACCTATTCAATTTACCCCCAAAACTGTTTTCTCAGCAAAATAATACCAGATATTTAATGTGTTGCAATACAATTTATATAAAAGTTCTGGAATGATCAACCTTGGCCTCGGTTTTAAATTACAGAAACTTTTGATCTTTAAAGGTGTTTGTTGAGTTTTATTATCTGCCATATTTATAGAAAGCCTGCTGTGCCATCACCTATTTTTTATTCCTTTTCCACCCAAATATGCAGCTATTGAACAAATGCTCTTCTATTATGTACTTTTTCATTTTTCCAAACAAAACAGCCTTCTCATCCTCTCCCAAGAGTTCAGAATGAGAAATACTTGAAACAATAAAAGTACGAACTCAAATGAGTTCTGTTTTAGTTCATTCTTATTTGCCAGGGGTGAATTTAAGGATATTTTTGTTGTTTATTTTAAGAGTTTTGTTAAGGTAGGATAATTGGTTAGGCATTTATTTAAAAAAAAAAACTATTTGAGCACCCTTGTTATTTTGTGCATAAATGTATTCAAATCCATTGTGTTTTACATACTTGTTTGTATTTTTTTATTTGCTTCATGTTCATATCATAACCTGCTATTCTGTTTATATCTCCTACTTCCCCTGTTTCTCCAAAGTCAGTGAAGGCGGGTTGCCCCCTACACGAACTGCAGGTTGCTTTTTGGTAAAAAAAAAAAAAAAGAAGAAAAAAGGAGTGTTTCCTCCCTGCTGTTTCCTAACATGCAGGTTGGAGGAATTCAATCAAAGTAAACTCTGTATGCGCTCTACTGAATTCCTCAACTGCAAAATTCATAAACTGGCATTTCAAAATTACTGATTTACTCAATCTGACTGGATTGAGTTGGCTCATAATTGGATTGATTTGCACTATATTTTGAATACAGTTTTGCTGAACATGTCCAATCACAACCTCAGATGACTAATGGTTGTAAATTGCATTGAATATAAAACAAATCTGAATCAAACTTGTATGTTATGTGTGAGAAAAGCAAAGGTTACCATAGGATATGCTGCGTCTATGTGTTATGGACTTGTAGCCTGGATCCTGACTATACTGTAACCACTAAATTTGAAAGAAGGCTGATGCTGTAAGGAACTGTTTCTCTCTTGCTCCCGTGTCTTCTGGCTCTTCACCTGTCTGGCTTGGCTCAAATGGCTCAAATGACGTTATTCCTCTTACTTTTCA